ATCGTACTGGTGTATTTAAATTATAAACTACTAATAAATATTGCATACAAACAGCAATTTTTAGTGAAAAATATCACATCTTTATTACACACGGACAATATATTAAATTTATGCATTTGATATGTACTATCCTGCATAAATTAGTTTATATGAACACATATTTTGAGTAAATAGCATTAGCTTAACGTTATTATTTATTAAAATAAATTGTTTTTTCATCAATAGTGATCACATTATTACTTATTAAGAGTTACATTACAACTTTCGAAACTATCACAAACTTTAATTAAACTTTGACTTACTATATATGGAAACAAATTATTTAAATTATAAGTTTATTTATATATGAATTTTGTAATATTGGATGTTAACAGCAAAAATTTTAAAAGAAGTTTTAAATATTCGTTAGTCCGTTAAGAAAACATGGCACTTGATATATTTGCTATTTAAAAGTTTGAAATTCAGATAATTTTTTATATATATGATATGTGTACTGTTTAAGTAAACTACTTCTGTAAAATGTGCAATTGTTAGAAACAACTATTCAGTTGAAAATTTTCAAGACATGATTTTTGGCATAGGTACATGGAAGTACTTACAAAAATATATGTATTCACTAAAATATGTAAAAATCAGAATCCTTTAACTTTACGGAAGTAGTACTAAACTTCACTTTGTTCAAATTTAGCAAATTATATATTCTGGATAAAGTGTAAAAAACATTATTACTAGGTCTCACATAACCAATCGCAAGGTAGTTTCGGCATTTTATTTGCTGGCCACGGAAGGTAGCCTGCTGTTTTGAAAATCCAATAATCGTAAGATACTTTAGCTATCAGGCTTATTAATAGTACAACTTCTGTAGCGATAATATAATAAATATAGTCTGTCCAGTCACCGGGATAGACACACATTTTCGAAGGTTCCAAATCGACGACTTTTTCTTTTACATTTTCACACAACACTTCATCTGAATCTAATATCCGTGTTTGTAGCCACACCTAAGTTGAAGGTTAAAATATTAAATATCAAGAAGGGTGAAGTTATACATATATTTAAATTTTAAATAATATATACACACCTTTAGATACTTAGCTGTATTACAATCACAATGTAACTCGTTTCCTCCAAGTTTTACTAATCGCGAGCTGATAAAGCTCTTATCGTGAGTGTTAGGGCTTAAAATATATGTAGGAAGCTAAACAATTTAAATATCCTGTATAATTTAGGAATATTTATATTTACTATTCACAAAAATTCCTTTGACTTTACTTACAGATTTGATTTTATTGTATCGCAAACTAAGGAAAGCGTAGTTGTCCAAAAATTTGGAACCTTCTAATTTATTTATAGATGATATATTATTATAGTCGGCATAAAATTCCCTTATATCTTCGTAACATGGATTAGTACTGAGATCGTCCAATGCAGTAATCTGTAGTAACCAATGATAATAATTAAGAATATATAAACGTAAAAGATGTTTTTACTTTATGTACATAGAGTGAAAAATGATCAAAGACTGTAAATAATAACCGTATAAATTAAAGTACTTAAGATTATTGCTGCAATATTACTTAAATAATTTAAACAAATACAGAATATTTACATACGTTATTGTATGATACATTCAGCGCTATAGTATTGCGAGGTAACTTTTCTGGTAATTCGGTAATTTGAATTCCACTACAATCTACATTCACCGCTAAAGTCGGTGGTTTACCTTCAACAATATCCAATCTTCCGAAGTTGCATTGACACTGCCATGTATCTCCTTTAGGACATTCTGTTTGCAACTGTGAATCCATAAAATAATTTTTAAATATTAAAGATGAAATTAAAATTTTTACTAAACTACTACTTATACTGTGTAATATTGTATTCTAAAAGTAAGATTTTAAGCAATTACCAAGCTAAGGTATCGAACTTGTTTCAGGGGTACTTGTTCTGTGGTGTTAAACCAATGCCAAGTCTTGCTTGCTGAACATACAGTTTCATTTTCGCGATTAAAATTAATTTGCTTTTCTCCTGTTTTATTAATATATTGGTAAATATCATGACACCATAGTGTATTTGTTCCTAAACATAAAGCACTATATTACACTCTTGAAAAAATCTATAAAATTGGTATTCAAAAGCAGCTTGGCTCTTACCTGAAATATCAAGCCAAAATTCACGACCATTCATTGTATTTAAGGCTGGTAAATGTGTGAGATTGTTATAAGATAAATCCAAAGTAGTAAGTTGAGCTAATCGTGTAAGAGAATTGTTTTCTACTTCAATAAGAGCATTGTTTGAAAGATTTAAGCATACTGTTGGTGTCATCATTCGAAATTGCCCTTTTATTTTATTAATTTTTCCATCCGTAACTGCAAGTGATTTTAGTCTTCTCCATCGAATTTCACTAACATTAAATACATCCAATGTTGCATTTCTTATATGTATATAAGATATGTTTGATGGAAATCCTGTGGTATTCAAAACATTCTTAGAAAATCTTTTAAGCTGTTTTGCTAAAATTTGGTAGATATATTGTATTTGTAGGTATCAAGTAACAATGGTTGTTATAAAAACTACATTATTTCATGAAATGTCAATGTAATAGTATAATTTTATAGTAACCTGTACAGGAAAGTTCAGATTCAAAGTTTCCAATATCCAAATTGCAACAGAGCACTGCATTGCCCTCAGGATTATTGTGGGCAAGAATGATCTTTTTGCATGAACATCCAGTTACCTTAACATCAGGACATTCGCTAGATTGTTGATAAAAGCATTGCTGTAACAGACCACCGGACATTCCTGTAATTGAAGTTGAAGAAGTTTGTTGATCTTCCTCTGTCCTTGCGCTTGCTACTCCAGCGTATAAGCACATCATTATGGCAAACCACTGCATCTGTTAATTCAATTGATTTTTTAAGAAACAAAACCTTCTGATAAATAAAAACCAAGAGCACTAAAGATTTGACGACTTTAAACTTTATTAACATTTTAGCACACAAATATATTGTAATATTTTTGGACCACTCACTTGGACACACATGATATTGTGAAAGTGAAAAAAGATATAAAATCCTCTATTAAATCTAAATCTTAATGTTGTTAAAATTAATAATTAAACTGTTTTAGTCATATATCTAGTAATATTGCTTTAAAGAGAAACGTTAAGTAAATAATGAAGTAAAATAAAAATTAATATACTCCACAATGTTTTGATCCTTATCTTGTATCATAAACGGCCGAATATTATTGAATTGGTAAAATGGAAAGAAAATCTTCATTAAGCAATCAGGTAAAAATTGATAAACTAAGCCTAACATAATGGTAATATGTATATTTTTTGTTTCCTTATGGTTCTCTACTGATTTTAGTTTCTTACTATACAAAAGACAATCGTAATTAAGATACTAAATAAACATAAAATTTCGAGAATTTAACGCAACTTTTTTTCGAATATATCATAATATGATATTTATATTATGATCATGATTTATATTTTTTTATTTTATCACGAATGTAAATTGGGCTGTACGTAATAAATTAAATTGTCACCTTTTAAATCGTTAAAACAAGTGTTTAACATTTCGTGTTCTATACATCCCTGTAAGAAAGTAAGTTCTTTTCATAAATAAAGTATTTGCATCTTGCGCATTTCTAATTTATATATTTCTACATAGAGAAATAAAAATACAATAATAAAAATTATGAATGCGGATTAAAATTATTCGTTTTTATGTGTAATACAAAGTTGTCCATTAAGGAAACAAAAACACACTATAAATGCTACAGTAGTCAACTGAATGCGTGAAAGTGATCGCTTTTTTCGATTGATTTATAGTTAAAGATACATTAAATATGCATCTTGAATGAAGTCACAAATACTTTATCATATACGAGAATTCAATTATCATAGTATAAGACGTATCACTGTGATAATAAAATATTTACATATTCACTTGATATATCATCATTGAACGGCATAGAATTCATTTGCTATTGCAATATATTTCTTTTTGTTCCGAAAATTATAAGAATAATTTTCACAAGGAATAATATTGGATCACTGACAGTGTATCGATGTGTCTCGATAAGAAATGAAATTTAATATCTGATTAATACTAATTGAAACATTTCTAGGAGGTGAAAGACATAGGGCTCATATGTAAATTAATAACATCTGCAAAACTTTGGAAATATTTCCTTTTTTATTCAAATTACCTTCATCTCGCACTGTTTTACGAGAAAACCGGTAAACAAAATCCCTCTACATCGTGAAGAAGTTTTCGAGTTGGATTGCTTTCAATTCAAAGCAGAACGATGTTACGCGTACAAGTAGTAGAGATAACTCACGGATAAAAACGATCACAATTAACAAGAAGCAGAATTTTGTTACTGGGGAGGAAAAACACACATTGCGCATTCACAGTAAGAATGTGGATAAATTAATTCGTTTAGCAGTCTCTGACACTTTGGGTCATACGGGTCGCGACCTATTAATGAATCAAAATTGGTTAGCTAGTGGCAGAACGCGTCGTTTATTACACTCGGTTGCCCCGTATAAATGATAAATCACTCCATCAGCGGAATCAATCTTACGCTTTTTTCCTACTCTTTTCTTTTATGTTTTATTTCCTTTATGTGTTCATCATATTTGTCACGTTGCATTAACTGTTTTAATAATAAAAAAATGTTACAAGAATATTCATAATTTAACATTAAATATGAAAAAGTATATTTAATCAAAAACATATCTAATAATCCCCTTCTAGAAAAAAAGTTAAATACTTCAATTGTTTGTAACACTTGCTAGCATTGCCAATGACGTGTAATAAAGTGAGGCAATTAATGGTATCATGTATAGTCCTTTAATATCATTAGTGAGTATAACATCTATTACTTGTGAACAATCGAATTAGAAGTAGGTATGTATGTATACAAACAAGGTTAGTTTAGATTCATTCTTGATTTAACATAAATAATTCAATAAATTTTTGCCATACCACAATCATAATGCTGTTTTAACAAACTTTTATACTTAAACTGAGTAATTTCATTAAAGAAAATTTTATATACAGATTCAAAGGAATATCAATTTTTACAATCGAAAATTATCAATTTAGTTAGACATGATTTTAATTATAAGCATTTGCAGACGTATTATTAATATTTATTAATGGTTATTCACGCTATTATAAAACAACGAATGAACGAATAAAAGGTACCTATGTTGTACTTATGAGTAAAGGTATATGTTCATAATATTACGCATGTACAATTAATGTCTACCCTCCAATTTGGATATACTTTTTCATACTCTCTTGATTCTCCTTTATTAGAAAGTTAATATTGCGCATGGATATACGTATGTGTATATATTCGTATATACATACGATACAAAGTATTATGGTATCAGAAAATACATTAAAAACAAACTGATTTGAGAAATAAAAATAGAGCATAAAAACTAATTACAAAGAAATGCGATTGAAATTCAACATATGTAATTCCTCTATACCAATGGAATAAAAATGTTCAATAATCATTGATAGCAAATCGGTCGATGACATTTATCCCCTGCTATAGTAAATACTGAATTCCAACATGGAAATAGCTAATTAATGAATTAGAAAACATTTGAATAGTATTGCAAATTCATCTATTTCTATTACGCAATGTCAACAAGCAATTAACCTTGTTAGATGGAATGTAATTTATATAATTAATTTTAAATGAGCGTTATAATTAATTACTTATTATTGTATTAAAAATATGGTATATCTAATTATATGTTCGTAAACATGTTTTATCTAAAACATTGGTTGAAATATTACCATTGCATAGTATTGTCTTCAAATACTAATCTACGAGAGATAGAATTGTGGTGTTAATTTCTATGCACTTTCCTTTCTTTCAAATATCATGTTTTATAAGACTGTTATTTCGTTTATTTTGCATTAAAAAATAATATAATGATAAAATCCGATGAGTTAACAATAATTAATATATCTTTTTACTCGAATATTAAAAATGAATATTAAAGTTTTAAAGCAAATTAATTACTTCTTCTTAATTTGATTTTAACATAACATATTGAAACATGAAAGCCAGTATACTTTGGTTTTTGTACATTTTTACATTTTACATCTCGTAAGTAATATATGACAGGTAAAAACAACCACAGATGACAAGAATTACTCGTGGTTAAATAAGTAATTATTAAGCACAGAACTTTATCCGTGATTAAAAGTTAAAACTAGAAATCCCTATTTCATGATGTGACAAATTAAAATGACACAAATTCGATAATTTTTTAAGGGATTAGTTACAAAGAATCTTCCGTGCGAGTTAACCTTCTTTATATAAAATGATCTTTGTATATAATATACACATTGCTGTTTGTCAGTGTTTTAAGATGGCGGACTTAAACGAGAAGTTGCTAGTAGAACTCCTTAAAAAGCCTGGTAATAATGCGTGCGCGGATTGTGGGGCAAAGAGTGAGTGGGTTTTCTAAGAAGCATCTATCACATTATTGTACAGCGATGTAAAAGACATTGAAAAGAATTTACTTCATTATGTTGTCAACTTTTGTATTCAATGATTGAATTTCAAACTTTGTTTTCGTAGTAGTATCGTTTACACGTAACTACAAAACTATTTAACTGTATCTCTAATGTTGTGAAGAAGGAAATTTAAACCGTTATTTTTATTTAATTTTACTTTGCTGCGATTGTTTGAAGAAATTGCTTTATACAGCATTGTTGTTTTGAAGTAATGTTTTTTTTAAGTCAGCAAACATTTTACACAATTGGAAACTTTTAATGCGATAATATATTTTTATATGAATTAATTATTGAATTATACAATTTTTCATACGTTTTAAAGTATTTAAAAATGTGATGAAAGAATTTTAAAGTGAATTTTAAAATTACATTCAGAATGTTTTCTATGTAAATAAGAATAAAAGTATGAGTAACAGTTCATTTTACAACTGTATGTAGTAATAAAGAGTTTTCACACACATAGGTTGTGTTTCTTGTTATGTTTATTTACCTCTCTTGCTGTATATCTTTCTAAGATATTTCATATAATGTGCAATTTTTTTTTTTCAAACGTATGTCCAGCTTCTTTTTGCTACCTAACAATCAACACATTGTATGTTCTCATTTATTGACATCAAATGTATAATCATAAACATGTTCTATGCTGTACAAATTGGACAAATGACAACAACATCTGAAAGTTAGAAAGTAAAAAAATTAAATTCCAGATCCAGAATGGGCTTCTTATAACATAGGAATATTTGTGTGCACAAGATGCGCAGGTATACATAGATCGATGGGTGCACATATATCTAAGGTTAAACATTTAAAACTGGACAGGTGGGAGGATTCTCAAGTAAATAGGATTAGAGAAGTTGGTAATATTGCAGCTAGACTTCATTATGAAGAACGTGTACCTCCTTGTTACCGCAGACCAAGCCCAGATGCACCACAGTAGGTTGTCGTATGTATATTTCAAATATTGAATAAGAAAAAAGTGTATCTTAAAGGTCACATTTTTTAATCAACAGAGTATTGGTAGAACAATGGATAAGAGCTAAATATGAAAGGGAGGAATTTTGTCATCCAGAGAGGCAAAATCATTACGTTTCTGGGTTTATGGAAGGATTTTTAATGAAACGTGGCAAAGAAGATTCACGTTATCATCCTCGAAAATTTGTTCTTTGTGAGGCAGAAGATACTCTCAAGTATCATGTTAAAGAAAATAAGGTGTGTAAATATCAAACATTACATGTATATGTATGGGATTACTATCCCATATGTACTATCTATGGTTTTATCGATCTTTCTTATATATTTCAAGGAACCTAAAGCAGTTCTTAGAATATCAGAATTAAATGTAGCTTTTGCTCCACCCAAAACTGGTAATCAAAACAGCCTACAAATATCATTCATGAAGGATGGTACAACAAGACATATCTATGTATACCATGAAGATCCAGAAGTAATAACAAATTGGTATTTGGCAATACGATGCGCTAAACTACATCGCCTGCAGGTTGCATATCCAGGGGCAACTGAGGCTGAATTACTTTCGCAGCTTACCAGGGACTTTCCTCGTGAAGGGTTTTTATGGAAAACTGGACCTAGGCATACAGATGCCTATAAAAAGAGATGGTTCACATTAGATGGACGAAAACTGATGTATCACGATGATCCTATGGTGTGCACATTTATTTAATAGATACTTATATTTTTGGAGTAATAGAAAATATTTATTAAATCAATCAATTTTATATGAATTTAAAGGATGCACATCCGAAAGGTGAAATCTTCTTAGGTCATAGTTCCGACGGTTTTGCAGTGAAAACAGGAGTACCCCCAGGTGCAAGAGATCAGGGGTTTTCATTTACTCTTGAAACACCAGATCGGTTCTATCTTCTTTCTGCTCAAAGTGATGATGATAGAACACAGTGGATGAATGTAATTCAAAAAGTGATAGACAAGCCACTTACTCCACAGGACGCAACTGGTGTGTATTGTAGAAATAAGTAGAAATAAAAAAAAAAATTGAATGCTTTCTAATACTGTTGCGTATAATTTAAAACTTGTAGTGGCAGCACGTCTTATAAGGAAACGCACAGCTAGTGGAACAATGAATATATTTTCTTCTACAAGGTAGGGCTGGATCCCTCTTAGGTGCTTTTCCTAATTGTTAAAAGTAAATATTAGATGAACCAATTGAGCTGTTCTGTTAAGGGACTGTTGAGGAAGTAGCGATAACGTTTTGTAACCGCACAATATCATCGATCGAGTCGAATATACATACATACATATTTATTCGTAAAAAAACACGTTATATATTATACGTATATAGGTATAACGTTAAAAGAGTATCTTTTAAATGTAAATATCTTTTATAAGGAAATTTTCAATGTTCACATATGAATATTGCTAATCAATTTAGAAAGGTTAATATGATCAAATAGTAAATTCAAATGAGCTCTATATATTGAATTAAATGGTTCTTTCTGATGACGTAATATGAAATTAACATAAACGTAACATAAGGTTGATATGTTCTTCGACGATATTTTTATTATAGAATGCTTTTTGCTTACTGTCGAATCAAGCTGACAGTATCATGTTTTGAATCATGAACAATTTTTACTTAATGATATTACCCACATAATATTTATTCGCCGATTAATGAAAATTTACAAAATTCTTCGGAACATGTAGCATTCGTTTTGAAACATTAAAGTTAACATTGTGTAATGCCTGGAAGAATGTAATAAAACTAGAACACTGTGAATGAATGTTTGAATATTTGGATACCGTTTTGGTATATTGAATATTATTTCGCAGTATTCTTCTGTTTTGTGATGGTTATATTGTTGATTTGTTTAGATTTCCAGAATAAACAGAAAATCATGAATAAAAATGAAATTCTGTGTAGAAGTAATAAACTTCTATGGCCTATTAACTGCACTTCTTTATATGATTGCAGTAAGATGAAAGTAAACTGAGTCAGTCAGATTCTATATACATGATGGTACATATTATATTGCTACGAATACATGTGTTATACAATTAATCTGTTATAATTTTTATATGGACAATATTTATGCTAGATACATGAAATGCTTATAAACTTTCATTGCCTCAAACTTTCTTATAAAACTTACATACATATTTGTATAATCATTAAATTCTTTTGTAATGTAAGAGACTAAAAAGACTGTGTTGAATGAAGAGACTTCATGTATATTCGCGTTCATAAACATGCAAATTGGGAAAAATAAAAATATTTTAACTGTTTCAAAGATAAAAAGTAATATTTTCAATAGCTACAATTATACCATTGAAAATACGTTTCAAGAACAGTAATAAATCTCATATCTGTCTAGCATTAAGTTTTTTGCACAATTGTAAATTTAGCGTACATGTACATATACGATTCATTTACATGTTTACCGACTTTATTGAATCTCTTAAATTAATTAATTAAATTCTAGATTGTACAAATTATATCTTCTTCATAGAATACTATTAATTACACTGCAAGGTAGTTTTTGATTTCCGCTCCGTTAAAGTTATACATTGCAGCACAATATGTTCGTTGAATTACTCGTTATAACGCGATATATTTAATTGTAATTGTTCATATTTTCGAATATAATATCGCGTGTATTACAATAGACGTATAAAGAGAAATGTATATTTTCAAGATATATTTCTTGCACATATGTGTTTAATATTTTTTAAGATAATTTATCGATTTCGAAAATTCTTTAGCGGAATATAAAAAAGATTTAAAAAAGTATCAAGTTTCTGTATTCTGAATATTGCAAATCCGTTTTCTTCATTAACACTTTTTCATTGACATTGTTCCTTTGTTAAACATATTTTCGTTTCGTTTCGTATCGTTCGATTTTCTTGCTGATAATTGTTTATTTAGGTACGATATGTCCTCTGTTACACTGCATTACTGAACAACTTTCGTATGCCGAAGCAAACATATCAACGAAAGAAATCAGTACTTTATCTGATTGTTATCACTACATTCAGATATAGGTGTACTTTTTAAATAGCAGAGAATATTCACCCAACAAAAGGCCGCTATACTAACGAAAGAAACTCGCAATGCTGGTGGTACCAGTAGAAAATTCAAAAATTGGACTGGCAACCAGTACATACATGAAGTCTAGAAGCAAAAAATTTGTTTATGTATGAACCTCTTGAACATTAAAGATAACACAATTGTAATTACCTTGAACGTTTGAAAAAATTTTGCTTTACATTCATCAAACACATTTGGTTTACTCTCCATCAGACTCATACCTGAAACGTTAATGAAAATAATACTGAATTATAATGCTATCTAAGGACAGAGGGCTAAATACATGTACATGTAAATAAAAATGGAATACAAACTGATGAAGAACACTGTAATCAGTGGTGGTGTAAGAACAAATTGGTCGACCAAAAGCTTTGCGAGAACAGTCTTCATAGTTTTACCTTTGTAAAATTCATCCAACCATTTATACCTGATAAGAACAGACATTACTATACCCCCTAATGGTAACATTAGTCATCCTTAATTACCAACATTAGCATTAACAAAGAAACAAGCGAGTTTTGTATAAATATAGAAATGGCGAAGCAGAATAAGCTCACCGAAGGTGATAAGTCGAGAAAAGGCCAAAGGTACCGACGAATGCAATCGTGTGATCGTCATCCAGTGGACAAGTAGTTTATTTGAAGTTGGTATCTATAATGGCAGGTGTCTACGAGAGACCCCAAGTATCAAAATCGAACAATGACTAGTTATTTGTTAACCATAATTTTTGTTTCTCTTTAATATAAACATATGTACATACATACATACGCGATGTGATGCTATTGAAAAATTCGAGGAATTTGAATAGGGCGCACGAACCAGAATATAATACAGACTTCTGCCGCTAGAAAGAGTCAACAGGACCCGTTGTGAATCCATATGCGCGAATAGTTAGCATGCTGACAAACACTTCAAGGGTAAATGACCGTCTGTCGACGATGATGAACATTCTGAACAACCGTCGGCAAGAGCATAACGTAGATTGTAGACAAACTCGTAAAACCAACTCATCTCTGAGGTTATAACTGGAGATGTATCATAGGTTTACGGTTATGATCCTAAGACGTCGTTACGGTTAAAGTCGCCAAATTCTGGAAAAATTGTAGCAATGTAAAGTTCTTGTTGATCGTTTTTTTTTCTTTTTTTTTTTTACGTTTAAGGTATTGTTCAGAAACGACTTTTACCGTGAACACTTGTGAAAAGGTAAAGGAAAAACATTTGACGTAAACGTCCAGATAATTGGAAAACCAACCACTAGCTTTTCCATCAGGACAATGCATCAACTCAGTCATCGCTTGTAGTTGTTCCCCTCTCCCATCAGCCCCGTAAATATTGCCCCCTTCAACATCTACCTGTTCCTCAAGATGAAGTTCTGACTGAAAGATCGAAAGAACACAATTCAAAAGATCCATGACACACTCGCTCTTGAGGATTTCCAGAGGGATGCATAGAATCATAGAAAAATCATTGAGATCGCTGTATACATGCCCACAGGGAATTCGAAGAAGAAGCCGGTGGAAACTAGAAGTTGAGGTACATCCCTTTTGTATTTTAAACAAATTCCCCGAATTTTTTCACGCGTACGCGTGTGTGTGCGCGCGCACGCGCCCGCGTAAGTTGCATTAATGCTTTAATATCACATGTTCCTTTAATTTTTAATATCATTATTATCATTTTAAAGATAAATATGTTCGAATCGATTAAGAAAAACAATCATTTGATGATATTTTTATGTAATTACTTGACACGATAATTAGAATTATTGTTGGATTTGATTCATTGCAAAAATAATTACACGTACATATACATAGGTGCGTGCGCATAGTACATAAGGGTGCCTTATCATGTAAAAGCATAATGTGATAAGTAATCAGTGATAAAAAGCGTCGAAAAATAATATAAAGCGTTGTATAAAAAGATAGAATGACAACACACAGTACCATCCATGTAACAACGGTCCTGCAATGAAACAGCCGTAGATAGCATATCGCTTAAGTTGAGCCCAATTGTAACCTTCGAATTGTCTTGAACTATCCTCATCCAATAAACCCAATTTTTCGTTCAATTTTTTTCTCCAAACAAATAGCGACCTCTCCTCGATCTCAAGTCCGGTGGAGACTTCAGTGTCCGCCGACACTGGCGATAACGAAAACTATAATCGAACAGATTGACCGATTACAAAACACTAATGATTAGAATTCTATGTATGTATGTATATCTTTCCTTTTTTCAAAAGAAATTCACTTTTACACGTTTATCTCTCCTGTAAGAATGTCTCCTCTACATACAATTTGCTTCTTAAACATAATTTTTTTGCTTATGTAACACGAATTATCGGATGGCAGAAAGATCATAAACATAATAAAGACATAAAGCGCAATAAGCTTGTATTTATATTTTTGGAAAGGATTTCAATAAATAGAACATATTTTCCATGTTTTATCACATAAATTGTTTCTGTATACATATTGATCGTGTATCAAAAAAAGTAATTACCTTGAATAATCTGCTATATGTTTGTTGTGCAAATTCAGCACCAGTGTAAAAAGTACCATATATTACTGAATTAAACAGTAGCGGTCGTTTCTGCGCAGAACTTCTCAATTTCTGTAGTATCCTAGACACAGACATGATTCTTTACGACTTGCAGCTCGTCCAATTCGTTCGTTTTGTCCTTCGTTTTATTATCTGTAAATTAAGGCGTTGTGTTACAGATAGTGCGAGGAAACAACTTTTGATGAAAAAATCAGAAAGTTTGTATGATTGAAAAGTACATAATGAAAGTGTGAAAATGTAAGAAAGTCGAATAGATTTGATTTGAAAATCGAAAAAGGGAACAGATATTTACAGCAATATGTATTACGAAAGTTTTTCTCGCGTATTTACTTACCATACTGTTATAACAGTGTAACGAAATTGACCACCATTAATCATTGGGATATTCGTTTGATCTCTGTATTTAGAAAATATAAACTAACGATAATTCATTGGTTAAACTATTATTTAGATTCTACATTACTTAAATACGAATGCAATTAAATATACTCGAAGCCATAAAACAACACGGTGGTGGCCAAAACAGTACATTTTAATCGGTAATGCAAATAGAAAACCTTCCCTTAATTTTTATAAATATTAAAGAAACACAATGTCGAAATCGAATAATTTTTTTTATAGTGTTTTAAAAATTCGTACAAAATTCAAACAATATTTTTTCAACTCTTATCGTTCTTTATCACCAATTTCGGATCAGAAATTGAATAACTCTTCTAAATAGTATGTATTCATTATGATTTTCGAGCAATAATGATTATATACATATACGCGATATAAGTTAATTGTACGATGTGTTATATTTTACTTATCTTCTACAAAATTCGCACACCACACACATTTGAATTTCTGTTATCGAAAATTGTTGTGTAATTTGGATGATTTAAAAATGCGCGCCACCGAATCTCTTGTCTTAACTAATCCAGCAGTTTTCTGTCTTTTTACCTTTAGAAAATTTTTTACTAATGTCTCAATAAAAAAAATACAAGTAATTCATTTTAAAAATACTTTTCTTAACATCACTTTTTCATTAGAGTTTCGAAACAATGATTTTTACGTTACACTGTATGAGAAAAGAATAGTAACCTAAGTACGTATATATAATATTAAATACTCACCTATGTCTTTGATTGTATCAAATATATTACCAAGTACCTTTTCGATTAATTATTGAATAAAATAGAACTTCACGTTTGAAACAGTGCTTTGTTGAATATGCGCACACACGCGGTGCACGTGTAATCGGCTCAAACCACTTAGAAATAATCAAAACCAATCACGTCTCAGTTGTGTCAATTGTAAGCAACTATGAAGTAGAGGATTATTTGATATCACAACATGATATACACTATGGTAGTTGTAAACGTTTAAACGTTCATAGAATTTCATAGTTGAATAATTCATGATACAAGAAAATTATAACCAAACATGTGAAAAATAATGGTTTGTTGATTATTGATTTTATTACACATTTTTACAATTTATAGGTGATAAGGTTATTCTTTATTGTAAATTTCATAACTAATTGCACTCATAATTTCAAAACATAACCAGTTCTTCCAATCTTGAGTTACCACTTTTTCAAAAGTGTATTCTTGAAAAATTTGACTACTTTGTACCTAATTTACAGTATAGACATTATTTACTGATCATAATATTCTGTTGAATAAATAATTTAAGAAAAAAGTTTACCTCATGAAATCCTAGTTTTTCAAACATCTTTATGCTCTTTTCATTGTCGAATTTAATCTTCGCTGTATATTTAGTTACGTTTAGTATATCAGTTCCTAATTTAGAAAAGATACTTTTCATAAGAATAGAGAAGAGATTTGAGTGAAAACAAAAAGAAATAAAAGCATAGATTGCATACCATAAAGTAGCATTATAATTGTAGACTCCCAACCTCTCTTCTTTCCTCTATAAGCAACTTCTGCTATCATAATTTCAATTTCTGCGCTACTTGGCTGATCTGATTCGTTAAAAAATAAATTTGTATCTCCGATCATAGCTTCTAAAATTCATGGATATCATTGCATGGTAAAAAATATAATATAAAATGTAAAGTAATATTTTATATACCTATCTCATCTCCAGTTTTAGTAAAAACAGATTTTTCCAAAATGATAAAAGTACATTCTAAAACAAATAAGAATACGTCGTCCATGGAATTGCATGTTTAAAAAAAAATTACTCACTGTCTTGATCCTGATGCCATTGTTTTTGCATTTCAAACTCTTTTTCTAATGTTAGAGTCTCTGAGCCAGTGAAATATTGCAGTTCTGCTGATTTCATCCATTCGTGATATCTAAAAATAAAACAATATAAAATTAAAAACGAATTTATTAATACGCTATAACAATTTTCTAATTATTTTTTAAACAAACACGAGAAATTATTTAAAAATGGCGGATATTTTTGTTAGAACAGAAAACGATGTCGATAATCGATAAAAGATGAACGGTACCAGCCTTTTAACGTGTTTCTCTTTATAAGGTACTAAAATTACGTTTCTTCCAATAATTTTGGTATATTCGTTACACCTCATGATCTCAAATGAATTAACATGAATATTATGAAGAAAATTATCCGAGTGCAAACTCTAAAACCAAGGAGGTTAAATTTGTCTTCCTGCCATATTGGATGCAGGGCTTGCAACGAGATGATCTAGTATTCCGAAAAAGTAAACTCATTTTCTTCATCTTCTTATTATTTGTAATTTATCGAGAAATAACTGTTGAATCGCAAAGCAATTAATAGAAGATGGCTTACAATTTTCCGGGTGTACCAGCGGCCGCTATGCCACCAATGGGTACGCTTGAAAATCATAACCGTATACTTTACATCAATTTCCGATATTCTTTGTGTTTATCCAAATCATCCTCCACTATTGCATTAAAAGTTATGTTTATTTTATCGTAATTACGTAAACATCTTTACTTTAAAGTATTATATACCCTCAGGTATGGGACCGATGGGAGCCCTTGCTCCCATCGCAGGACCTCAAAGCTTTATGGAGTTAACAGGCCAAGGATTTCCTCCTCTACCTCCACCAATACCAATGCCTGGGATGAATGATTCTCCTTTAGAATTCAGTACGAATAAGAATCAACCACCAGTGGTTAGAGAGACTTCTGAAGATAGCAGTGATAAAAGAAGTGAAAAGAATGAAATTCGACGTGAAAGAGAAAATAGAGATAACAGAGATAATCGAGATAACAGAAGGTTTTCTCCGTTTATTTTTATATAGAAATAATTACAAAATTATGTTAATGTTTTTAATATCTATATTTGTTACGTTGTTTCTTCTTGTTTGAGACAGATCTAGAAGTGACCGAAGCGACAGAAGAGAGAGAGATAGAGAAAGAAGGGAAGAACGAAATGAAAGGGATAGAAGAGAAGAACGAAGGCCAGATGATCGAAACAATATGAATTCTACCAACAACAATAGTAGTCACAATAATAATTCAAACGGTAATGAAATTCCATCATCGTCAAATACTGGAAGCACTTCGAATCTGGGAGCACAAATGGAACAAGCAACAGGAGTTTGGGGAATGAGTGTAGGATATCCAGTGATGGGAATGGCTCCGATGGGACCAATGGGACCAATGATGAGTGAAATGACACTAGGTCCACATATGGGACATACTCATAGTTATGGAGCTATGAGCATGGGAATGATGTCACATGATGGTAGTATGATAAGTGCACAAATATTAGGACCGGAACAAATAATGAACGATGCTGCCCAAATTATGAGTGGTGCCTTACCTCCTCCACCAACAACACCACAAGGTACCAAAGAAATTATACATTGTAAAAGTTGTACGCTGTTCCCACCGAATCCGAATGCTCCACCTCCAACAACTAGAGAAAGACCTCCAGGATGCAGAACAATTTTTGTCGGAGGTATTTCCTATCCGTGTTTCACTCACATATTAGACGAAAGCTCAGAATTAATAGAAAATAATCTTGGTGAATTCTTGTAAATTTTATTTAGGTTTGCCGGAAAATATCACAGAAACGATAATTCAAGAAATATTCGAACGATGTGGAGAGATAACCACTTTACGACTCTCTAAGAAAAATTTTTGCCACATACGTTTTGTACTCGAGAGTAGCGTTGACGCAGCTATTTATTTGTCTGGATACAGAGTAAGAATAGGATCCAGTGGTGATTCTGCAAACACTGGCAGGCTCCATGTGGATTTTGCTCAGGTTTGTAACTGCAGCAGACAAGTAATTTATCATTAAGTATACGATGAATTTATACATTTATTTATCTGTACTACGTTAAAAACTAAAGGCTAGAGACGACCAATATGAATGGGAGTGTAGGCAGCGTCAATTACAAAGGGAACAACGCCATAGAGAACGAGTTGAGAAGGAAAGGCAAAGGGCGCCGTCCAGTCCTCCGCCAGTAGTACATTACACTGATCACGAAGCATCGAATATCTGCGAGAAGATTAAACAAGACGATACATTTATGAAAGCGGTACAAGTGAGTAATGATTATCGCAATTATATTTGTTCTGTAAAATATTTAAGCGTTGTGTTCAATGTTTCTGCAGATTAAAACTTTTGAATTCCAGAAAACACGTTCTGTCCCGTTACAAAACAAGCGCATTAAATCGTTCCAGGTTGTCGTGACATGGCTCGAGCGTGGAGACTGTACCAAACGCAACGCTAACACTTTTTACTCGATGATTCAGTCAACAAATTCTCACGTTCGAAGGTTACTCACGGAAAAAGTTGCATACGAAGAGGAGCTTCAGAAGGCAAAGGAGCTAATGAAAGGCAGAATGCAGGGGCTCTTGATACAATGTACGTTTATATACTCCATATTTATCCATCTATCTATCTATCTATCTATCTATCTATCTATCTATCTATCTATCTATCTATCTATCTATCTATCTATCTATCTATCCATATATATTTTCTTCAAAAAGATAGCTCTGTACCACTGTACATTTTTATGTACACAAGAGCAAATCTACATACATATTGCTTTGTCTGGTAAGTTTTTCTGCCATAAAGTAAGGATTCTATAATTCTTTGGGTATTCAATATACGAAAAGTGCCAAAATGCGATTGCGTCAGAATTTCACGCGTCTTGTTTAGTAATAACAAAAGTGTGCGTACTCTCTTTTGTTGTACATCTGACAAATTCTTAGCTACTGCATAATGGCTTAGTTACTAAGCTACAACATAAAATCTAATAAATACGGGATTTATCTTTATACAGCAATTGCAAAGGTACGTCACTTTTGATATATTAAAGGTTCTAATATTTATCAGAGAAAGATAAACACACGAAATCAAGTGAAACTTTATTAACATCGAAACTTTAACATCGTCGATCGTTTTGTATCGAATTTTGGTCGTTAAAAAAATTTCATCCTCGTTGAGTTTCAACATCAGGTGTATTGTAAGAAATTTATTATATAACGAGTGTATTGTGGTCGATGCACGATCGAGACAAGTCAGTAGAAGGATCAAAGACAGTAGGAGAAAATAAGGTGGGTGAAGAAATCCTGTCTTCTGACTCTAGGCTCTAATCATTGAACGAAAGAGCACAAATACTACAAAACTTCATTTTATAGAAATATAGTGTACCTAAGAATTGCATGCTTGCAATGCTAAGGATTAAGGGTGATGGGCTAAATATTTGTTGCGAAGATGACATTACGCTATGATTCTTGTTAACCATTTTGCATTTGGTTCATTGATTTAACTCGTGCGATCATTTTATTTCTACAAACATAGCCACGTGTAGTGTAATAGTGTATCGTGTTTAGTCGTGTAAATGTCAAATCGGTGGAATCGTAGCGTAAGATCATTGTCTTAACGTCGGAAGCCTCTACATGTTGTAAGTTGTTAGGAGAATAGTGCACATTTTCCAAGGAAAATAAGCACTAATCGTGATCGTACGTTGAAAAGACTGATTGGCAGCCGAATTGCAAGAACCTCGAAAAGGATCCTCGATCGATGGTGAAAGCAGTTTTTGATAATATTATACTCGGATAAGTAATTTTATGACACGATTGCTTAGCTGAACACAGGAAATATTTCTATACAGTCACATAAAGAGAGAGAAAGGGGGAGAGATAGAGAGAGAGAGAGTGAGAGAGAGAAAGGGGGGGGGGGAGGGGAGAGATTAGGTATATCAGGATAACTTTGAAATATATAATATGATGTATGTACGTGTGAAGGAAACGTTCGAATCTGAATGATATAGAAACGTTGTCGGATATATACACAACATCTGTGATACTGTGGGAAGAATATTGGAAAGAATGTGTTAAAAAGTATATATGTGTATATAGATGATTATAACGAGAGTAACGTGTTAGATCAAAACGAATGTAGAGTTTAAAGCAGGGTATACAACAGAAGATTTGTTGTGTTTTTGTATGCAACATGCGACCATGTCATCAACAGTCAGTCAGATTGAACGCGTCTTTACTGCGGCCAGCCACAAGAAGGTCTGGGATCACTTCACAAAGGCTCAACGGAAGAACATCGAAATGTGGAAGAAACAATCCTCGGTATGTATTTGCATTCCCATGTCAGTAGCCCGTGTCCAGTACGTTACACTTTTTTTTTGATAATTAGACAACGGTAATTCATCGATAAAATCTAACGAGTCACAAACCGCTTCTTTATGCGATTGCACGTTGTTCATCCATATGCCCCACGCACACGCGTTTTGCAAAGAGTTATTTTCAAAAGGAAGGTAAGTAGAGATCAAAGGACACGAACGACTTCGATACCTACGTCCTCGTCAGGCGTGTGCTCTCTCCGTACGAGATCTGTACCCGGTACATTTAAACTTTTTGGAAATATTGGAACGTGAAAGGTAAAGAGATAAATGGTTTCGTTCATTCGAAATAAACGGGTACCATTCACTGGATCTTATAAACAGGTAACAACCGAAACAACATCAATTTCTAAGCTAAAATATGATTTTCACTTTTATTAAGCGGATTTCTTCTTACCTTACTCCAAGAACGAGAATATGAGAACGGGAGCGTAAAAACACTTGGCATAAACTTATTCATTTTTGTATTTTAAGGATAGGTATGTTTGATCGAGACACATACATGTATAGACAAAGGCGCTACAACGTTATAACATGCCTTATTATATTATTTATTTAGTTATTTACTTATTTATCTGTCTATCTATCTATTTATCTATCTATCTATCTACCTGTCTACCTATTACCTATCTACCTATTTATCTACCTATTTATCTACCTACCTACCTACCTACCTACTTACCTACCTACCTACCTACCTATCTATCTATTTACCTGTCTACCTATCTACCTATCTATCTATCTATCTATCTATCTATCTATCTATCTATCTATCTATCTATCTATCTGTCTACCTATTACCTACCTACCTACCTATCTACCTATTTACCTGTCTACCTGTATACCTATCTATCTATCTATCTATCTATCTATCTATCTATCTATCTATCTATCTATCTATCTATCTATCTATCTATCTATCTATCTATCTATCTATCTATCTATCTATCTATCTATCCATCTATCTATCTATCCATCTATCTATCCATCTATCTATCTATCTATCCATCTATCTATCTATCTATCTATCTATCTATCTATCTATCTATCTATCTATCTATCTATCTATCTATCTATCTATCTATCTATCTATTTAAATGCTTCTCTATTCCATTAGATCTTCAGGTAAGCACATGATTTCTGGGAAACTTAATTTTCTCTGTGAAAAATTCATTATTGTTATCCGTTTTAAAGACCATCTTACACGCATAATATTTTTAACTTTGACCTTTGCATTATAAAAATGCATTTTTGGTTTTAATACGTCACATCTCAAGAGATTAGGTCAAATGTTGCAAAAATTCTATAAACTTCTTGGCCATATCAGTATTAAAAAAAAGAGAGACAAATGTGTATTTATATATAATATATATATCCAAAAAAAAAATATATAGCATGTTTTTTGATGTTGCCTTCATTGATAAACTCGAATGAGAAAGAACTGAATGATGCTTTTTCATTGCTATAGGAAATTAAAGCGGTACAACTTGAAGAATCTTTAATGGAAGGTGAAGGAGAGATGGAAGTTTCCGATTCGGAGGAGGAACCACAACGCAAAAAACTGCGCAATCAATCGGATGCACACGAAGATTTGGAAAGATTGCAAGCGTTGAAGGAAGAGAACGATAGCCTTCGGTGTCAGTTGGAGGCGTATAAGAACGAGGTATCCGATAATCTTCACCGCTGATCAAAAACTAGGTGTTCAACGTAATGTCAAAGAATTGTTATAAAAATGAGGAATTTACATTTCTTGTAGGTAGATTTATTAAAATCGGAGACAAAAAGTGAAATTGATGCGAAGGATAAGCAAATGAAGATGTTGCAACAAACTTTGAAAGGCATGCAAGAACAGTTGATGCAGTCGAGGAAACAGCAAGCCCAAGATGACCAGAAAATTAAGGATTTGACTGTAAAGCTAAATGCCACGAAGAAGGAGGAACCGCGGGAAAGCGAAATAATAACGTTAGATAAGGATGATGATATCAACGAAGAACCTCGAACTCCAAAACAATTAGTTTTAACTTCTAGTCTCGTCCAGATTACTCAAAAGGATGCCAAGCTGATAGGTAAATTTGAAGGGTCAATTTCAGTGAATTTTCAACTACTTGAAATATTACTTCAAATTTAATAGATTTATCTTTCTATAATTCTAGGACTAATAGCGACATTTTTACATATTCATCCGTTCGGTGCAAGCGTAGATTATTTGTGGTCCTATTTACAAAAAATGGAACCAGGTATAAAGCCAAATGAAGTAGAAGCTCTGATGCAACGGTTTCCTCAAGTCTTTAAACAGGATTTATTCGGTATCGGAGCAAACATGGAAAGGCGTTGGCAATTTTCAGGTTTTAACGTTTATCGTAGTCATTGATTGGTGTGTAATCATTAAATTTGAAAGAAAAGTTAACAGGAAATCTGTTCAACGATTTTATAATATCATCATGTCATGGTGTGTCTCATGTTACATAGATTTTTATTGTGATACTTATAATTCTTGTAGCAAATCTTTACTTCGTAATGCCGTAATCGAGCAGAACACTTGTAAATAAAATTGATCAATTTCAAAGACTTTAAAAAAAGGTGGTGTATTTTTGTTTAAAAGCTTAAAAAGAAAAATATTGCTTAATAAGAATTAATTAAACTTATTACAAAGAAATAAATGAAAATTAATTTATCATTAATTAACAGTAAAGCTGAAATAAATCTTTTATCCCAAGTGAAGTTTTAATTTAACGAAGTGACGAAATGTTGTAGAAATATTTTATTATTAACAAACCAAAGCTTTACATAATATTTTTTTGTGTATTTTCTACGATCCATCCAAATAAGCTAAAATGTAGTTGATTCTTTACTAAATTATTTTACTTCTTGTGTAGAGTAGTATATATATTCATATGTTTTAATTTGTAGTACACAAATTATGAGTAATTCCTTTTTTCCATTTTATTTCCGACCTATCAATCTTCAATTTATTTAAAGACAAATTGTTTAATCTCTAACTGTTTTGCTGATAGTGACTTTTTATTAGGAAGAAGTAACAATGTGGTTTTGTACAGTGATTTTAATTGATAAGATGCGTATGAGCGATATTTACGTACGTTTATATAGGATCTAAAATGTTTTTTTAAGAAATTACAAAGTGATTTATTGATATCAAATGAATATGTAAAAATATTATTATTTTAACGATACGTTTTACACCATGATCGCTTAATTTTCGTACGATGAAATAATATTTACAATTACGTCCACATTATATACTCAATGTAACTTTAATTATAAATCTGATAGAAAAAAGGATGATCAATTTATCAGATTCAGTTGATTACTGTAGTTATATATTTATAGTGCGTTTTTGTTTCTTTGCGATCACTATACATATAGTGCATTTTAGTTTGTAGAAGAAGGCATTTTAATATTAATAGAATACTTTGTCCGAGGAAATATTTTACTATTTATTATGATCGCAAACATTTGAAAGTTAATCATTGTTTGTAATTTCTGTGCATATCATGTTATTCTTACCTTCTTAATTGAATAACGCTCTGTTTATACGAGAATGTGCAAATAAGGTTAAGTTAGGTTATGTAACCTAGTCAAACTTTACTTTGATCGTTTTGTACAGTTACTATGATGTATATGTAACACTGCAGCACGTTTATATCAGTTTGTAACTGCATTAAACTCATATTGAAATTGAAATTAAAATTATGAGTTTTATGAATTATTATGATATTCTTGGTTGTACCAAGGAATCAACATATGAAGATATAAAACGTGCATATCGTACATTAGTTTTAAAATTTCATCCAGATAAAAATACATCAGAATTTGATAATACAAAGTTTCAGTATGTCTTAGAAGCCTGGCATATTCTACGTGATCCTACATTGAGAGCAGAATACGATGGTATTCAGGAGCAAGAAGTGTTAGATTCTGAGAGCATTCTGATATATGCCAAAATATCTGCTAATGAGCTGAAAGTGATGGATAACGATAAAAATATATTGAACTATCAATGCAGATGTGGAGGGTTCTATTCTATCCCAAGGGAATACATTCAGAAAAAAAATCAATCGATACATGTTCCTTGTTTGGAATGTACTCTTCTTATTATTGTGGAAACATAACAATTTTCCCATAAGGTCGCAAGATATGTTTAAGATGCAAGATAAAAAACACAAGACTTAAAATGCAGCAACATTTTCTATTTCTTATAAAAAATGATACAACAGATAACACATCATTACAAATATAAACTATTGAGCAATATACAAATAAAAACACGATCCTTAGAATATCCTAGGTTCAATAATAAAAATTGCATTTACACGAATCGTGTTTTATATTGGCAATAGAAATTGCTAGATTTATTGTCGATCAGAATTAAGTGTTTGTATAGCACATGTAATTTCTGTAGACACAGTTTATAGAAAAAAATTAATTTGCTATAAAAATCTATAATACCTTTGGACAAAGTTGTAACTTATTTATATTTATTCTTGTATGATAACTGATTTTATGTTGTTCAGTTGATTCGTGCATATTGCACATGGATAAATTTGCAACTCTTATTATTGCACCATGGCAAAACCAGACTTGTTACTAATGTCAAAATCAATACATTTTATTTAAATATCGACAAGCCAATTAAATTACTATCACGAATATTCGATTAACCCTAGTTGTCCAATCAATTGGCAAATAATAAATAACGAATGATTTTTGAACGTGTTACGCATGGGAAATATTTCGACGAGTATTTGTTAATTGAAAAATATGGAGATGTAAATGTTTATGTACAATTACATTTATATAATCATTATTCACAATTATGTTTTTGTGACAATTGTGGAAATAATAAAAGAACCTATATTGTAACACAATATAGACAAATTGCAAGTACTTTTATATAACATGATTTTACACAAACACTTTATGTAGTAGTTTCCTTTTTTAATATGTCAAATAACAGAACAAAATGCAAAATATAGAGTATTATTTCGTACCTTTGAAAATCCCTCTTTTATGTTTTGTAATCTTCAATTTTTTTTATTGTATGTACACATTAAATGCATGAACATATTAAATCTTTTGCACGCGCGTATGCGGGGGAGGGGGAGAAAGAGAGAGGAGAGATTACTAGATGACTAAATGATTATAATAAACGCATAATTGCGTGCGTTATAAATTAGCAGTTACAAGAAATACAATTAATTGAATTCTTTTTTATGTTTTCATAGCACGAATTTCGTTGTTTCCTTCGCGTAACACGTTCGTTTATATTCTGATTAACGAGCAACAAAAGAAAGTGGTCCAAGTTCCAATGCAATGTAATATAATATTAGAATCGATAAACTACTAGAAATCGCTATGGTTCTCCAATATATATTTTTAACCCAAAAGATTAGTTGTGAGTTGCAATCGTGTGATTCTGTATGAACATCTATGCATGAACAGTTTAGATGACAATAAAAGTGATACGAATGTAAAAAAAAAATGAATAGAAAGCAGCGTTCATTTCATTAAAAAATTATTAAATATTGATTATATTATCCAATAAATTATGCACAATTCCCATAATAATTAATTTAATCAACATTAATGAAAAATTTAAATAAGCCATACGAAGTACAGCAAAGAACTTATTTTACAATGAATATTTTTACCAAACTGGTCACTTTTTTGTTTCATTTTTAAATCTAAATTTACTATTCATTCGAATTTTTATTCTCTCTCTCTCTCTCTCTCTCTCTCTCTCTGTCTCTCTCACGCGCACTCGCCCGCCCGCACGCACGCACGCACGCACGCACCCATTCGTTCATTCATTCATTCATTCATTCATCCGTTTCCT